GATTGTTTACGGGATGGAAAGGAATCAATTTTGTATTTTAGAATGTAAATGGGCGTCAGTTCATTCCAGTGTCCTAGTCTCCCGTCAGGATGATCGTCAGGTTTCGAATACTGTCGGGTTGGATGTTCGAATTCACCGTTCATCTTCTTTTTTAAGCTTCGGACTAGTTTGGACGGGTTCAACGGACAAAACGGACCAGGCATGACGGGGTTGAAAGACATTCTAGACTAGTCCAGACGTGTTCGAAGGACATTTTTCCTAAAGGTAACTAGTCATGTCGGGTGTGCAAGACGTTTCAGACTAGACCTGACGGGTATTGCGGACATTTCGGACTAGTCATGTCGGCCGTCATGCATAATTTTTTGCTTACTTGGGTTTAACACTTCTTTTAGATTGTGTTTCACTAATTCATAACTAATATTTACTGGAAAGTGTATTGTAAATATTTTGAATATTCATTTTATTGAGTTCTTGTGAAATTAAGGTGATAATTTGTCCCATAGTATTTTGATTTCCACTTGCAAGAAGCCGAATAAATGGATTGTTATTTATTTCTTCAGATGAACCATGTAGACCTTTAATTAAACTAATTAAAGGTTTCGTGTCCATTATAACAACAATAGAAGATATATTCCATTCTGCAATACAATCATAACTATCTCAAATCTGAACAATCATATTCAATACTGATGTGCTTTCCCAGGTGATTCGATCCGACTGTCGGATTACGTCGGATTATATCGGATTATATCGGAAAAATTACCGGATTTTAACGGATCCGACGGGAACTCGTCGGAAGTTGTCGGCGTCCTAGCCACAGGATTCCGACAGGAGGTTCCGGATGTCGGAATAATCAGGATCCTGCGAAATCCCTGAAACTCCGACACTCCGACACTTTCCGACATCCAGAACCACTTGTCGGAATCCTGTGGTTAGGATTCCGACAAATTCCGGCGAATTTCTATCGGATTCGACAGGGGGAATTCGACCTGGGTTCATCTCCGACGGGTAATCGCACTTGAAAATATGGTACAAAACTAAAACCAATCATTAAACGCTGTAATGGATCAGTAGTCCAGACTAAGAAATTGAAAATAAATGGTGCTGAAACAACAAGTATTCCTACCATAGCCTGAATAATCTTTAATCTCATGTTCATCAGACCAATATTCACAAGAAATATTATACAGGGTGTTACATAACCTTTTTCTCCCCCCCCTACACGACCTAAAGGACAGATAATATCAAAATGTATTTATACCAAATTAAAGCCCGTCAAAAACTGCATCTAGGAGTGCAATTAGATTAAATATTGCTTTAGCGATTATTAAAATATCTTGTGCAACATATTAAAATGTCATGAATTACACAATATAGAATCGATCAAAGAACTATTTCGTCTCGTTTTCAACGAATGTTTGAATGTAACAGAGCACGTGCACGCGTTGAATAACGTGTTTATTCTCAAGCAACAAGCATTCACTATTCACGATTAATATTTGAGAGAAAAAACAGAGAAGAAAACTATGCGATATATGCAGGGAGAGATAAGAGGAGAATGAATACAAAATCGGCACTGTTTCAAATTTTATTATTTCTTTCCTTTTCTGTGTACTGTTGCTCGCGCAACTAACTGTTTTGGTCGCATCAGAAGTTGAATTGAATACTCATTTAACTGAGACAAGCCTGTAACACATCAAATTAGCGAATTAAAATGGCTGGTGTTCTTAACGACTCAGAAAAGCAACGTTTTTTGGATAGAATTCGTTGTATCACATATCGTGAGATACGCGATGAAATGATTGCAATAACAGGAGACTCGTTTATCACTCGCTGATGGATTTTCGAAAAACTACGCTGTAGCGAACGCTGGGTACAACAACATTGGAATAAAACAACTGAAGAATGTTATACACAATTTGGAAGTGGTCGACTTGAAATACTCTCCCAGGATAGCAAAGACATCATCACTTCTGCAAGTGGCATCAGGGGCCGCAACTCTCGAAAAGTTACAAGAGAAATTTTGGAAAAAACAGGACAGCGCGTAAGTCATGTGACTGTTTATCGTGAACGCTATCGACAAGGATTAAAACCTTTCCATGTGATTGCAAAGCCATTGAAGACAAATACGCATATTGAAGATCGGAAATGGCTCGCAAAGTTTGTTGCTGATTGGACTGAAGAGGATTTTCTGCATATCGCGCCTTCGGATGAGTTTTATATTTACGTTGTCAGAAAACCGAACCACCAGAATGATAGGATTTGGGCAAAATATATCGAAGACATTAGCACTGATGAAAAGTACCGTGAAATGGTTCCGAATGCAAGGTGTATCGGAATATTTGTGATTTTCACCATAAAGAAACTTCTTTGGGTCTTAAAGGAACAGGGGCAGTCTTGGGATGGAGCCTATTTTCGTGAAATTATTCTTCAACAACATGTGATTCCATTTCTTCGAGACCCAAACAATGTTCTTGACACAGATGAAGTCATATTCCTTCACGATAAGGCACCCTGCATGAAAGCCTATGCAACACAACACCTTTTGGAGGATGAGGGCGTGCAGTTTTGGGGCAATTCAATTTGGTCTGGTAATAGTCCTGACATGAATCCTGCAGAGAACGTCGGTGCCATTATCAAAGATAAAGTTGAAGATTTAATGGCAAGTGAAGATCGTCAAAACAGATACAGTTATGATGTTCTCAAAACTAACATTGGGAAGACACTTAGAGATATTGAAGATGACACGGATCTTTTTATTGATTTACTGTGCTCAATGAGAAAAAGATTTCATTCTCTTGAAGCTGCTGGAGGAGGTCATACAAATTTCTGAAACCTTGTCATAAACATTTATTCGTGAAAAATTTATATTTCTAATAAATTGAAAATTCTAGAGCCTACAATTTAGGTAAATGAACGGTATGATGGTTCTTTGATCGATTCTATATGGTGTAATTCATGACATTTTAATATGTTGCACAAGATATTTTAATAATCGCTAAAGCAATATTTAATCTAATTGCACTCCTAGATGCAGTTTTTGACGGGCTTTAATTTGGTATAAATACTTTTTGATATTATCTGTCCTTTAGGTCATGTAGGGGGGAGAAAAAGGTTATGTAACACCCTGTACATTCGCTTAATGATGAAATATTGCTCAACAACGTAAAAAATCCCACATTTACGATAATCTTTCACATTCGACGGTGTTATTATATCAGCAAAATCGTGTGCATATTCAAACATCACTTCTGCCAATAAAGCGATGAACGTAAGTCACAAAAAAATTTTTCTTACTCACTAAAATACCGGTTCTTCCAACAGTCTGTTTACACCTAATAATGTCACTAAACAAACAAAGCAGAACCATACAAAGGTATTTCTATCTCCTAAGAGGGAATGAGATTGTGTAATTATTGGGATGAGCTGCACATAGCAACAGTAAAACATTCAAGGTAAAGATCACAAGACGCTTAATTACAAACAAGAGACAAAAATTCACATCGTAGAGTGAATCACTCGATAGAGAATTTCATTCTCCAGAAAATAGCCGGCTTTTCCTTTCAAATAAATTTCTCATGCCAACATCAAAGTTACAAGATTCATACCAATTCAGTCATACAACTCAAATATTGTATTTTTCCGCATATGCGAAACAGTTTATGTGAGTATTTCTTAATCAAGACGAATGCTGAAAGTAAAGCACTGTACATGAGAAAATGGAGAACGTTTTACTCTAGATGTGAACGATCTTGTCGTGCCTGTCAGTGCTTTTGTTTACGAGGACAAAATTCCACATTACTACACAATAGAACCTGTTGTCAAGTTACGAGAAACCATGTTTTCACGTCTAATTTGGCGCATAAAATGCTAATTCTCAAATGGTCGCACGCAAAATTATCGTCAACATGAAATGGTACTCAGGTTCGGGTGTGGGTGTGAATATAGGTGTGTGTGCAGGCGTAGGAGCCGGCCTGGATGTGGAAGAGGATCCCAGAGATATACTCATACCAAAACCCCTGCAAATCAGCGCCCACACCCAAACATCCATCCCACACCCACACCGAATACGAATTCATTCTGGTAAACACATTAAGATGGTGGAATACGTTGTTTAACAATAACGTATTTTTCATGTTTTTTCAATAAGGCTAAGGTTCTAGTTGAAATTCAGATAATGATCTTAATACCCAATAAAGTATTTTTATGTAATGCATTCTACATCAAGATTTCATCTATGAAATCTTGGTATAGAATACATCAGACGATGAAAGTCGTGGTTTCTATGAGACCGACATAAAAATAAAATTTTGAATTTTGACGTGAAACTTTACACAAACAAAATTCTCAATGACTAGACAATTGCAAAAGTTTCACTGATTTTTGAATCTTCTCCTGTGAGATATGAATATTGAAAAATCTTCTGATAAAAAAAGTAATCATTCTTCTTATACTCATGTCTCAAGATAGGAAACGCTTAAATTAGTAGAATTTTCATAATGAGCAACAGTCATTGAGAAATTCATTTGTGCAAAGTTTCAAGCTGATTGAATGAGATTCATAACTCTATGTTAAAAAATGCACTTACAAATTAAATAACTCAACAACAAACACTCAGAAAATCGAACTCTCTTAGATTTTTACATTATTCCCAATCGCCTCTCACTTAAATATAGTCTCGATTCAAAAACGACCAGACACTTGAAGATGTTCTTTCATAAGATATCAGGATTAGATGCTTTTCATCAATAGTGTGATTTTTCATTTAGGACAATAATGCTAGTTCTACACAGCTTCTATTAGGGTGTGGAAGTAAGAGATCAGAAGATCAAACCCATACCCACACCCATATTATCATGCCATAGGCCTTACTTGTGATATATCTTAAGTAACTGTAATAATCAATGTATAGTATTTATTTGTCCGTAATCAACTAAGTCATTTATAATTAAGTAATTAGTCATTTTATTTATCATAAAAGATAAAAATACATTATAAATCTAGGAAATAGTTATATTTTTTCTTTGACGTTGTTCACATCGATGGCCTTGCCAACCTTCTCGACAAGTACATTGATAAAAACCCGTGCATTGTCCTCCATTCAAACATGGAAATGGACAAAATGCTATGATATAAACAAAAAAGAAAAACTAAAATATTTCTTTATTAATATATTTTTTTACTTTTTTCACATTGTTCTTTACAAATACATTTTCCATCTAAACAAATTTCATTTGATTTACATGTATTATTACATTGATCACATGAATTTGTCTTGCAAACACATTTTCCCTGAATACAATGTTCATGTGGACGACAACCACCACGTTGTATACCACACATACAAATATCTGATTGACATATTTCACCTTTACCACATTTACCTTGAAAACCACAACTACATGACCAATTATAACAACGTTCACCTATTTCACAAATTTCATAACATACACGACCATTTTCACATATACCTAATCATTAGAAATAAATCATTCAATTTTGTTAATGATTACTAATTAATTAACCTTTAGAACAGCCACATCGACTATCAATACATAGTTGACCAGATCGACATGGTATTGGACAAGAAGATGTTATATTAGGTTCACATCGTCTATTGACACATCGTGTTCCGAATGAACATGGTGGATTACATATATTATCATTTGTTGTCGAAGTCCATTTATCACCTATATTCGACCAAGCACATTCTCCATCAATACATTCTTCATCTTCATCACATGGAGGATCACAACTTTGAAGATTGATTTTAATCTTTTGTCTTAAACAAACACCTGTATTTTTGTCACATAGTTCACAATCTGATGTACATGGATTATCTTTTTAAAAATTATAAAATGTTTTTTTTTTTCTATTTGAATAATCAATAAATCTATGACTTACATTTACAAATCGGTGGTAATGGATACCATTCTGATGGTACCATACAATAAATACGATTAGCACCAATCATTTCATAAGCATAATTACATTTATATTCTACAAATGAACCAACTTCGTAATCAGATACATGATATACTCCACCATGAATTGATGCAGGTTCCGAACATCCTATAATTAATAAATAGTTTTTGTTAATTGATTAATCAAATGAAAAAGAAAAAGACACTATTAGTACAAGTCGTATGGAATATAAAAAACGTGAAATATTGTTCTTACTAATCACAGGAAGATTATTTTGTGCGTCATTGATATACAGTGGCACTGAAAATTGAGCGTACATACTGCGGGTGTGGGTGTGGAGAAGGGGTATATTTCTATTCCTATACTTTAACATTCTTTATAAATTGTGTTTCACAAAAAGAACCTTACCAGAACAGAATGATGAACTTTTTAATTTATTAGTATCGATCCATGTTTGATTTGATACTTTTGACCAGGAGAAAATATCTCCATTTTGTTTTCGACAATCACGATAACTAATCAATACTTTTTGTTCAGATAACATTTCATTCCAAATTTCTAATCTTGTTATGCGACCATGAAATGTTTGATTAAATAAAATCAATGATGAAATATCTAATTAAATTTAAAAAAAAAAAAAAAAAAAACAAATAATTATTTGTACATATCTTTCATTTAGGCTTACTTGCTTTTAAAATTAAAGTTCAGTATTTTAAAATCAAATGATTGTTGACGTGTACCATCAATATATAAATATGAATGTTGAATTTTATTTGAATATATCCATGCAAAATGATTCCATTTTGATAAAGAAATTTTTATTAATGTTGGTTGAGTTTGATTTCGTGATGCATGATAATAAACAAGTCTATTCAAATAGAAAATTAATATTAATAAAAATATCTTGTTAATTTACCTATTTTGTCGAACAGTAATTTCGAAAAACTTTTTATCATTTTTTTCTTTTAATGAAATAAGAGAAACATTATCACCATTTTCAAGATAAAACCAAAATATGATAGTAAATTGTAATGGTTCAACAAATGATAAGATAATACCCGTATCATTTTTATTAATATTCAAAGCAAAATTTGAATAATCTTGAGGAATTAAAATAAGAAAAATCAAATAAAAGATAAAATTAAATCATGTACGGTTACCATGATATTTTTGAATGCTTTTTATTGATGTTATTGGTAATAATTGAGTTGAACTTGTGCTTGTAATTGCACGCATTATTGTTTCATGACTAACTAAAATAAATCAAATCTTGTTGATTTTTTTTTTTTCATCTGTCTACTTATTTTCTTACCAATACAAAATTGATCATAACCTGACCATATGCCTAAAATTAAACATTCACGTGTATGTGGTCCAACTAACTGATAACCGATTTTGCTACATTTTGCTCGACATGTTGTACCAAATTTAAAGTCACTAGTGTTCTGTTTTGGTAAACATTCTTGAATCACTTGAGTATTAATTTTTAATGGAGGACAACGAATTTCTATATCAAACATAGAAAAAAAAATCAACTCAAGTCAATAAAAATAGTGTACCTTCACATTTTAGTTGTTGTCCTGTCCAAGTTCCATCTGATTGACATTCACGAAAACTATCTCCATCAACAAGACGATAACCAGTTAAACATCCAAGACCACATAATGAACCTGATTCTCGTTCACAATGTCCCGAAAAGAAAAATCCATGTTGAGGTAATGTCAAAACAGGACATAACTTCATTTAATAATATTCAACAAAACAAAAATTATATCATAAAATAAAATAAAATTGTTTAAACATACTCGTATAGCATCAAGGTTTATTATTCTCAGTATGAGAAATATAAATAACAAAAGCATAATATATGAATATTGATATTTAGCTTTTGACGAACAAATTATAGAACAGTATGAGAATGTGTAACAAGGCAAAGACAAGAGAAAAAAAAATATTTTTTTGTAGCATATCTCAACAATACAATATGATAGTAATATTTATTGTTTTTATGTCACCCATTAACCATCTGTTATTGAAGAAATCGAGGCATTTACTGACAAGACTTAATCGTAGACGAAGTTAGATGATTTTCTTTAGAACAGACAAACTATAAGCTAAGCTATTAGACATATAAATTTCTTCGAAGGTTATTCATTCTACAAAAAGAAAACAAGAAGTTAAGTAAGCAAAGAAATGCTTCATAAAGTAATAATAAATTTAATATATAAATAGATGATGGTATCTGAATTCAGCTCAGTATACGAAGCATTTCAATTTTGAATTCATGTATAATGTTTCTATGATTATTAGACAAAAACATATTTCTTAATTTTATTCAATAAAAATCGTGTGTAAATCAGAGTAAATTTTACTTCGAATCAACAGACTACGAATTATTCTGTGTTTTTGTACAAACCTTTGATATTTTCCACTCTCGTTTTTTTTTCCTCCTGCACAACTATAACAAATGGTATTACTAATAGTTCCCTATAGGATGTTGTTAATTAACAAAAAAAAGATGTCAACAACTGTCCACTGATGACTTATCATTAGTGAATCAATTCCTAGGTTTTTGCTACTCATCAAAAACAACAGTTGATATTCATATTGAAATTTTCAAATTTATCTTTCTGTTTATATTTATTCTAAAAAAAAAAAAGTTTTTTGAAGCTTTTGTATATTAAAAAATATTGTTAAAATTAATTTCAATAAACTTATTTGAAACTAATTTTAAGGAAAACTTGTCTCATTGAAAAAAAACAAGAATAACTTTGATTTTCATCTATCGTGCGGTATACAATGCTGCCTAACCGATAATTCATTAGTCCAATATCTGCCCAACAAGCAAGAGTAACTTTGGACTGATAGTCTGTCTGGCATAGAGTTCTTAAGATTTATATCTACACTAACTAGCCAAAATAATTGAAACAATTAATAGAGTTCGCTTGAAAATCATGACTAGCGAGCAAAACCAGTGAAAATGGGACATGACCATAGTCAAATTGAACGTTAATTCATTGTAAGCATTATTCTTTTTTAAATAAATTTTCTTGTTCATATATGTATGTAAAAATATCTACGTAGAATAAACTTCATACTACAAGTAATATCTACAATGAAATTTTCAGTAACATCAAAGTCCTAAAAAATTGTCTTTCAAAAATCTTTTTTTTTTCAGAGATCTACTTTTGATTTTACTATCATGTGAAGATCTTCAGTAGAGATTTATATTATTTAGAAATAATTTTTGAAGCTTTCATTTAATTTGTAAAAACATGTTCTCACTTACTCACGTCGTTGAAAATGAATAAACTCAATTTTTTTAACTAACCTAATCATGTTCAGGAAATAATTGGCATAAAGATCTTGTAGCCTGTACGTTTCTCTACAATATTCACTTTCCAAAAATACTATTTTGACTCATAGTAGTTGTAGATAGAAACAAGTATAGTTAAAACCATTCCCCGTTTTTTTTTGTGTCAGGTCGTTAGCGGTAGATTTATTATAATAACTCGGCAGAACAAAGGTTAACAGGGGTTCAACTTGTCAAAGAGGTCAACAGTGACCCAACATATATCTTTTGAATAAAAATAATCTAAAAGAAATTTACAAGTCTTATCCTAAACACATTTCTATTTTGTTAAATAACGTTGTTAATGAATAAAATTGCTCATATATATTGTATTCCTAGAAACTATATATTTTGATATCTCTATCAAATGCTATTCGTAGATCGTAGGAAATCATTCTTTAGATCATACAATTTTGTTTATATTTATTCTGATATTATTCTATGTTCATATTCTTCATTCGATGATACTTTCTAAAGAAAACAAAAAAAAGCCGACATCCTTGTTGATAAATCATTACAGAATAGAAATATGTAAGTATTTATTACTGATTTCGATAGAATACATCTTTTTGCAATAAGTTTTATCTCTTTTTTAAATATTGTTCAATTAAACTAAATAATAATTCAGTTTTATTTTTCATTTATTTGTTTTCTTCACTGCCTTACATTTCAAATAAATTTATTATAATATGATAAATAAATCTACAAAAAAAAAAAAGAAGAAAAGTATAACGGGATAACAATTCTATTCTATAGAAAAACTCTTCAAACATCTGTTTGTCCATATGTTGAATAATCAATATCATAAGGATAATTTTGTTCATCTGTATATTCAAGATGACGAAAAGCAGTTAATGGTATAAAAGGTCGTTCATCAATACCTTCATGAACATTATAATTATCATATGTTGTTTTTCCTTGTTTACCTTCAAGATGACGAAATGATTCTGTATTAACATATGATCTTGTATCAATTGATGGATCAATAAATGAATGTATTGTTTTATTTTTTGAATTTTTATTTTGACCTTCAATATATTTAAATGCATCTAGATCAACATAAGAACGTTGATCAATACCACTTTCAATATCATTTTTTCGATTTGTATATTTACGTTCAAGATGAATAAATGCATTTGGATTTCTTTCAAGTATTAAACTACGTGTATCAATTTCAGGTACAGGTATATCATTTCTTTTTCCTACATGTCGATCAATATAACGAAATGCTTGTGGATTAACATATGAACGTTCATCAATTTCTGGTTCATTATCAACACGACGTTTTGTTTCTTTTCGTTCAATCCATTTAAATGCATCTGGATTAACAATTGGACGATCATCAATTGATGGTTCTATTGGTTCTGATTTTGTTATTGTACGTTTTTCAATATATTTAAATGCAGCTGGATTAACTATTGGACGATAATCAATTGATGGTTCTATTGGTTCTGATTTTGTTGGTGGACGTTTTTCAATATATTTAAATGCATCTGGATTAACTATTGATGTTGTATCAACACCTGATTGTACATCACGACGTTGTGGTAGTTGATTTTTTTCCAAATAACGAAAAGCATTTGGATCAACAATTGGTTCACTATCAATACCACTTTCAATAGTTCTTGCTGTTGGTATATTACGTTTTTCAATATATTTAAATGCATCTGGATCTATTATTGAACGAGTATCAATCGATGGTTCATCTAATTGTTTTGCTGATTTTTCTCGACGTTTAGCATTTAAATATCTTAAATAAATCAAATAGAATTTATATTTTATGAAAATATAAGAAAAGAAAAAAAAACAGGGAGAAGATAGTTACTTGAATGCATCTGGATTTACAATGGGTCTATCATCAATACCACTAGTAATACCTTGACCTTGTTTTTCAATCTTATTTGTCTTCGCTTCAATATAACGAAAGGCATTGGAATCTATAATAGACCTATCATCAATGCCTTCCTTGGATCCATCATCACCACGTAATCGATTGTTCTTTTCTATGAGTTTCTGTCGTCGTCGTTCTAATTGTGCAACTGCATCAAGATTAATTATAGGTCGTGTATCAATACCACTTTCAATATCATCTAATGATGTTGTTTTTTTTTTTGATTTTTGTTCATTTAAATTTAAATAATGAAAAGCACGTGGATCAATTATTGGTGAATCATCTATTTCACTACTTACATTTTTTTTATAAGTATATGTTGGTTTTCCATAATTAGTATATTGTGATCGTGATGGTTGATTTGGATTTATTGTTAATGCAGGATTAACACGACGTGTTGGTACTGAATGAGAAATATTTACTGTTCGAGTATTAGTATATGGTGAAGAATTTGTTGAATGTCGTTCAACATAAGAATATTGTGATAAAGGATTATTTTGAGCTGTTCGATTACTGTCATAAGGAATAGAATATGTTGTCGTTCCTTGTGGATATTGATATCCTCCACCATGCATTGAATACATCGTTTCAATACGTAAAGAAATGATGATATGAAGAAAAAACAACAGAACAACAGCGTTTGATAATGAGAGATTTACAGAGAGATGCACTATTCTATAGTTTTCCTTTCTCTATGCATGGAAATACTTTTTTTTTTTTTTCGTTCTCTTCTGTTATTTGCCAAGTGAGTATAGAAGTAGGCGTCAAATTAGCCTTACTGAAGACACTAAAAATAAGTCAAACAGTGGCTTTCTACTCCCATATACATCTGCACCCTGTTGTTTTGCTAAAAAAGATATGATAGAAATAGAACTTCGACATTTTTTTTTTCTTCTTGTCGTAGTATCTACAAGCATCTATCTATCATACACTCGACAGATGTGATATCCGATCGAGATCGTTGTTTTGGTTAATATTATACTAAGAAAAGAAACCATTAAAGTTATGCGCCTATCGATAACCATCATAAGTATTATTGTTGTCAATTTATAAAGCGATTTTTGTTGTTAATGAGAATATAAAGATTAATCTTTATATATTTTTTTTAATAACTAACTTTTTTTTTGTTTTTTGCATATAACATTAAAATTTCTATGTAAACTAATGAAATAATATTTGTAAAGTCATCTACTAAAGAAATATGTCATGAGTAAAAGAATAACAAATGTCTTAATAAGTATGCAACTACTGACAGAAAAATAACCAAACAAAAAACAATGTTGCTATAATTTTGTTTGTAATAGATTAGTTTTCTTTATTAACTATTTTTTTTTATGATTTTAAATTTCTTATCGTTGTTTATGATCAGCACGTTCAATAAGTGAAAAATTTAGCGTTTCAATTTCAACTACTATTAAACGATATATTCAATGTTTTCATATTTAAAATGAAAAATTTTTTATTTAAAAATAATTATATGTTAATAATCGAGTTTTTACATTGATTACAACAATTTTCATAACTTAAAAATAAATATATTTTATTAGAATAGTAACAAACACAAAAGTTCATATTTTATGTAATGATTGATATTTATTCCATGTCGAAAATCTACTGCCCATAGAAATGAATAAACAGTAATAAATACTATTTCTTACTCTTTCTATAGTTTTATGAATAATTTTGCCTATAAAAAAGCTATTAGGATAATCCCTGCAGCATAAAAATGTGAAACACGATGTAGTTAGTGTTGTTAATCGCAGAAAAATTGTTTTATTTTATCTATTCTGGGATACATTTCTTCTGCATTCTTCTCCAGAAATGCAATAAGGAAGTACTTCCTTTATTATAGTAAGATGTTATTGATATACAGTCTTTGACCCCCTCATAGATTCTGTCCGTCATAGTCTATGAGCGTCGGATAGTGCAAATGTCTATCCTATAAATTTATCACATGATAGTTAGATGTTTTATTTTCACATCCTTATTTTTCAATGAAACTGATGAAATAGGTTAATAGTATTTGTAAAAATATATTAATTTCATAGACATATTTGTCGTTGAAGAAGAAAAAATGTTCTTTTCTATACGTCAATCTCTGAAGTCAATTTTAGTGTTTTTTTTTTGTATTTGAAATGTCAAATTTTCTGTTAAAATTGCTTGAAGTATCTCTAAATGTATTAGGAATGGGTCAATGTTCGTTCGATGCCCTCTGAATGTTTTTCTATTCATAATATCATTATCTAATGTCAACCGACATTTGTTATCTCGTTTGATAGCAACCATCAAATCAACACTTCATAGAAAAAAAAAAATGACCCCATTTTTGTGACAATCTATAATATATTTTTCTTTATGTAATAAAACATATTCAAATTCTCGTGTGACTGTAACTATAACTAATAATGAGATATGGTTATCCAAATAGATGAAATTATGTTTCAAATTGTAATTAATCATTTTCATTACAATAATATAAGATAAATTCTATTTCATTTAAATTAAATACTTATTTTCAAATTCATAGCAAATGGAAATTTATATTCTTCAAAATTGTTGATATCATAAGACAGTCCAATACTTTTTAATCGAACATCAAGATTTGCATTAGCTTTTCTTTTTCTGTTTTTTTGCTTTGCTTTGGTTATTCATCTGCAAGAAGTACTTCAATATCGATCTCTAATCTAAATTATTCACTTAAGATACATATAGTAAGTCTAAATAATAAGAAGAATATTTGATTGACATACAGCTGTTAAATATATAATACCATTCTTCGATGACATTGCTTGATCACGGGTTTTTCCGCAATTCCTATTTCGAAATAACTATAGACGTTGATCTTTTTTAAAATTATGAGATCAAATGTAATGTACGGATCTATTAGCTAACTTGATGTAGTTTAGGTCAGTATTTTTCTTATGTAAAAACAAGACAAGTGAAGAAACTTGGATTTATTCAAATAAAGTGGATAAAAAAAAAGTATTCAACAAGATTTATTTGCTGCTGTTTTAAGCGCTGGAAAGAATCTTAATTGTAATCCGAGTTGAGAAAACGATGTCTAATAAGAATATAAGAAAATAAAAATTATTATATGATTTGTAAAGATAGAGATTTCACAGAACTAAAAACTCAAGCGAGTAAATATAATTTTGTTATGACTACATAGAATGATACAGAAAATAGTTTCCTATAAATAAGATGTCTGTGAGTTCTCGGCTACATTTTTCAGTTGACATACAGAAACTTGTAAATGTTAAAAAACTAAGTTTTGATTTTCTGAGCTGGTTATCTTTAGAGATCTGATAATAATTTTATTTATTTCTAGCGTTTGCAGCATTATATTAGAAGATCCTATGTATATTATTATGTCCAAGTGGATAGTTTTAACAGGGCAGGCTTCTATTAGATTCCTGTTTTTTCAGATACTGATAATTGAAACGTTTTTCAAGAATTATTTTAATTTCAGTCTTCATTCAATTTTCAGATAAAAATCCTGAAAATTATATAGACTTATTTCTGATTGAATATGTTGTTCACATATAATGATAAACGAATGAAAGAGCTGGCTAACCTAATGATAACGTGAAAAAAAGAAACCGTTTTCTTTGTTTCGCCTATTATATCTTGTGGTGCTATTAAAGTTAATGAAACACAAACAACTCGTTATGATCTTTCACTTCCATCAAATCCTTCACTCTACGATCGGTATGCATTGATATTCAAAAAAAAAAACAATCAAATAAATCATAAAGTTTATTTTATTTAGACGATGAATGATTATACAAGGAGCCTGGCCACTAGATCAACTTCATATGCTTCGAATGGCATTAATTCAACCAACATTTACTTCATCAGGTCTTCAAGTTGATGCATCCGGAATGACAACATTAATGATTCCTTATAGTCCATTACTAAAAGATATTATAGAAATAAAGTATATTTAGTAAAATAAAACTTTTTTTGTTGATATTTTTTTTTTCGTAGAGAAATTAATGTTAAAAGTCGAAGACATGGTGGCACAGTTGCTAAATGGTTTTCGACATTTCTAGAAAAACCAGACTTAGATTTAATTTATTTTGATGAACAATTTGAACCACAACATACAAAAAATATTGAACCAGAATTTCCAAATGAAGCATTTGATTCAGATGTCGTAATATATCACGATATGAGTCCATTTCATTTAGGTTCATTAGAATCAATCGATGATCTTAATAAACGATTAACAAATCCAATTAAAATATATAATTTTCGACCAAATATTATTGTTAGTGGTGTTGATAAACCATATGGCGAAGTAGAATAGATCATTTTTTGTAAGAATAAATATTATTTTAATATAATATTTAGGATTATTGGCGAGAAATTCAAATTGGTGATCAAGTTAAACTTCGTTGGTTTCGATCATGTTTGCGGTAATCAAGACTATTTAGTTAGATATATTTAGAAAG